CCCTCGGCCCGGAGGGCGCCTGCGCCCCGCGGCTCCGGGCTCCCGATCCCCGCCCGGAGTCGACTTCCCGGTGCTGCCACCCGCATCTCCCTCCAAACCCTGCTCCGGCCTACCGGCTGCGGTTCCCAGGCGGGGAGTTCTCGACCCTCCCTCCGGAGGCCACGGCGAGGCCCTAGTTTAATTCCTCTTACTAGGAGGAAATTTTCTTTGTTCGCTTTCTTTTTTCTTTTTTTTCCCCCCTCCCCTTTAAGTCCAAGAGACATGGAGTGTGGAGCATTACGTCATAGCAGTGTAAGGGGGGGAGAGTTTTAACTCCTACAAGTCAGAGACTTAGCAAATTAAGACTGCGGCTCGCCGGCTTCGTGGGTCTCTGCTTGCCAGCTTCCCATCACGTCGCTTGCAGAGATGATTTTTTTTTTTTTTGAAATGTCACCTGCTGTGTTAGTGACTGCCTCACATGCATCGCCAATACAGAAAAGTCTAACATCTCAGGGTTAGGTTTGTGCAAGGGCCTCACGTAGGCATTCAGTTGAAAGGTCTACCTTGACAGAAGGAACTTATTTGTGAGAGCAATGTTTTGATCCAAAATGACGTTCCCTGATTGACTTTTCCTCTATGGCTTACTTGATGAAAACGGTCTGCCTAAGTTGACTCAAGTTCTCTGTGGCAAAGCTGTGTTATTTTTCTGCTTATTCTTTGCTAGTTAAGAGTTGCATCCTAAAATATTCTTTTCGGTTTGTCATTAAAATCTACTTTGATATTTTTAACCGAAAACAATATTTTTAGGCTTTTGAAATCACAATTTTTGTTTCTTAGAATGCTTGGTGCATCCAAAATTCTGTATCTCTTTGACTAGGGTCTAGTAGCATACAAAGATACTAACACTAAACCAGATGAGATCCAGTTGTATATAATGGATGTACTGTCATAAAGATGGCTCATATTGGGACAGGCATTATCCTACTGTTGCTCATTTTGTAGAGATAGCTAACGTGAGTGGTAGATTCAAATTCGTCTTCTGTAAAGTTTAGGTGTTACAGACTATTGGATAGGGGTGGATCCTGAATCTTGTGAAACAAATTTTTTAGTCTTAATGTGGTATCTTATTTTAGGAATGTAAATTTGGGTTACTTATATACTGACATTTTTTTGTCATCCATATTTAAGAGTTTCTACATACTCCAATTTGCATCTTTTAAAATACAATAGCTTGAACTTACAGCGTTTAGACTTCAGACAGAAAATAAGAGATTGGTATTACAATGAGCTCTTTTCCAGTAATTTCTTCAAAATCTCCAAGTACATCCTCTGTTAAAGCTCTTAAAACCTTTTAATGTTAGGAAAGATATTTGTACTTAGAAAATTTGATATTAGGAATCCAGGCCAGGTGTTATAGCGTAGAGTAGTAAATCATTTTAATGACCAGTGAGATCCACTAGGACCAACTCTAAGTTTTTGCTAATCTCAAGATTTTTTTTCATGGTCTGTCAGAAAAGCTTTGCTAGTTATTTTTAAGATAGGTGCAATGATGGGACTGGGAATATGGCTTAGTGGTAGAGTGCTTCCCTAGCATGCACTGGTATGACTCCTCAGTACCACCTAAACAGAAAAAGTCACAAGTGGTGCTATGACTCAAGTGGTAGAGCAAAAGAAGCTCAGGGACAGTGACTAGGCTGAGTTCAAGTCCCAGGACTGACAAAAAACAACAAAAAGGTCTATTAATACAATTTTTTTTTGCCCCAATAGCTGGAAAACTTTGAAGTATAATTTACTTTGCTTCTCTTAGAAATAGTATAAACATTTTTTTTTAAAGTAGAAGTTAAATTGTGCATTTATTTAAGCCTCATTCCTAGGGCTGGAATTTAGGGGATGGGTGCTGTCCCTGAGCTTTTTTTTTTGCTCAAGTCTAGTAGTGTACCACTAACACCCCTCCATTTCCAGCTTTTTGGTGGTTAATTGGAGATAAGAGTTTCTAATAGACTTTCTTGCCCTGGCTAGCTCTGAACTGCAATCCTCAGATCTTAGCTTCCTGAGTCTGTAGACTTATAAGTGTGAGCCACTGGTGCCCGGCTTGTACTTTTATTTTTAGATATATTTGAGCTAGGCACAGTGGCTCATGGCTGTAATCCCAGCACATTCAGCAGCCTGAGGCAGGAGGACAGTTAGTTACAGACCAGCCTGGGTGCTTAGTGAGAAGAGAAGAAAAAGAAATATATTTCTCTAATGTTGTAGAGCCTGCCTTCCTTCCTTCCTCCCTCCTTTCTGCCTTCCTGTCCTGCCTTTCCTCCCTCCCCCTTCCCTCCCTCTCTCTCCCTCCCTTCTTCCCTCTCTTCTCTTCCTCTTCTCTTCTCTCCTCCCCTCCCCTCTCCTTCCCTCCCCTGTCCTCCATTCCCTTCCCCTTCCCTCTCCTCTCTTCTCCTCTTCCCCCCCACCCCTCTCTCTGAACAATTTAATCACTTTAGGCTGCAGGACTTTTTCTGAAGGACAGGGAAAGTTAAATTGTGTTTACTTGTCTCTCATAAATAGCTCTATATATTCCTGTGTTAAAGTGCTCCATCCAGTCTAAGCTTTGAGGATAATGCCTTTACAGTGTTCTATTTGTAAAATATTTGTTGTAAGTTTCCCCTATTAGAATGTAAGTTCCAGGAAGCCAGACCTTTGGTCTGGCATGGTCACCCCTTTACTCCTAACACCTAGGATACTGCCAAACAAATTGTAGGCCCTAATAAATATTTGTCAAATATTTGAATATTTGATGTTTGAAGTTTTAACATTTTCCTTCTGTGTATATCACATAAGCCTTCATGCTTGTTTCTCCCTCCTTCCCCCCAAGTCCTGGGGCTCAGGGCCTGGGCACTATCCCTGAGCTTCTTTATGCTCAAGCTAGTACTCTACCACTTGAGCCACAGTGTCACTTCTAGTTTTTTCTGTTTATGTGGTACTGAGGAATGGAACCCAGGGCTTCATGCATGCTTGGCAAGCATCCTACCACTAAGCCACATTCCCAGCCTGTGCTGTGTTTCTTGAGGCAACTTTGGTGCTTGATCAGCCATATCTGTATTTGGACTCTTTGAAATGATGATTACCAATCTCCTCTTGCTTGACCTTGTCCATCTGTTTGGTCCAGTGACTTCTGCAGGTGCCTCTCTGGACAATTTTCTGTACTTAGAAAATCTTCTGCTGACAAGCTTTCTCTCCTAAAAAGTACTCAGACTTAATGCTATTATCTTCCTTTATTTACCAGTAGCATATTTTTGGCCCTTCCTTCCTTCTACAGTATCAAATTCTTGATCACATTATACTTTGTCTCTTAAGAGTTTCTACTTTTACTCATTTCTTTAGTCCAGAGTAGTTTCACTAAAGCAATTTTCATTAGTGCCATTTCAGCTGTGTCTGTTAGTGCAGTTGTAAGCCCCAGATGTCAGAACTCTTCACTGATCACCGCTAGGACATTGCTCTCAAATTGGTTATTCCCTGAAGTGAAACCAAATGTTTTATCATCAGAATCCTGTTCTTTCTTACGTTTTATTAAAAATTTTTTTGGGGGCTGTTGATGTAGCTCAGTGGTAGAGTGCTTCCCTAGCATGCATGAAGCCCTGGGTTCAATTCCTCAGTACTACTACATAAACAGAAAAAGCCAGAAGTGGTGCGGTGGCTTAAGTGGTAGAGTGCTAGCCTTAAGCAAAAGAAGCTCAGAGACAGTGCTCAGGCCCTGAGTTCAAGCCCCAGGCCTCCAAAAAAAAAAAAAAGTCAGTACTAAGGTTTGAACTCAGAGTCTGGGGCTTCATCAATGTCCCTGTCCCAGTCTTAGAAAAATGTTTTAATCCAGTACTTGCCATAAACTATTATTTGTAATGTGTGGTGCTATGTCACCAGAAGAGAATCTCTGATTTAGGCTATTACTCACCTTGATTTTTTTTTTTTTATTGTCAGTTGTGGGGCTTGAACTCAGGGCCTGGGCACTGTCACTGAGCGCTTTTGCTCAAGACTGGCCTTCTACCACTTTGAGCCCCAGCTTCACATCCAGTATTCTGGTGGTTAATTGGAGATGTGTCTCATGGACTTTCCTACCTGGGCTGGCTTCAAACAACAATCCTCAGAGCTCAACTTCTTGAGTAGCTAGGATTATAGGCATGAGCCACCAGTGCTTGGCTCATCTTTAACACCTTGTGCTTTAGCACTTACATCATATTCTCAAAAGTAAGCTATTTCTATTTTCTCTTTTAATTGTTATCTTGAGAGATACAGTGTTATTATAGTGAATAAAAGTGTAGAACTACATCGTTTCCTCTCTGAAGCGAGACTGCCTGAGTTCTAACACTGGCACTGTCTTTGTGATTTCACTTTAGCTCCTGTAGAATAAGGCTAAGCAGTAGTGCCTACCTCACAGTGTAGAACATTTAAGTC